TTCAGTACTGTTTAACATCTCCTAACGAAAGAAAAAAATTTAATATTATTTTAGACTTAACTATAACGGAGATTTTGCAGCACATTATCGTATGCACATTATCGTACGCACTTGCCGATTTAATAAACTACAAGTCATTATATAATTTACTTCTTATTGTACTACTTGTTTATCAATATGCAAACCGAATTTATGACGAAGCTACGTAGCACGGCGAACCACATGCTGTGAGATTTCGACTTACTCTTTCTGTAATCTAATCTAGAAACAATTTAATCTAGAAACAATTTAATTTAAACACCATTCTTTACATAATATATAAAATCAGTAAATAAACATAAATTCTTATAAGCACTTACCTCTGGAAGAAATGTTGACATTTTTATATGTCAATCTATGTGTATTCTTTATAGATATTCTTATCTATATTTACGATGTCTTACACCAAATACGTGTAATAATGAGACGAGAACAAGAGATAATGAGACGATTACGAGAAACACCTTCCTTGACAACAGTTATCATAAATTATTAAATCAATAAAAAAAACAGAGACGGGTTTGTTGAACAGGATGAAAAATTCACTTTACAACAAAAAGAAAAAGAATTAACTCCGTATGAATGAAAAGTCACTCTAACTCGAGTGACACGACCAGTCACTCGATTTTTCGAGTGCGTTATCACTCTAAGAAATTTAGAGAGTATATTAAGGATAGTTCTTGGCTGATGCAGTCTTATTTTTACACTGTTGCCAGTTCTTGAGAAAAAAATTCAGCCTTATTACTTAACAGGCACACCGTGTATATGTCGATGCTTTATTCTCAATACATAAAATACAATAAAAAGAGTTTTAATTGAACTAAACGGCAGTGTTATTTCAACTGCAAAATAGTTCGATAAATCGATTTATCACACAAATATCATTCGTTGCAGTGAATTGCATTTAATGTGTAAAACGAAATCGTTTAATAATAGTCAAACATGCATTTTTCACGCACGTACAGAAATTCATACCTTATTGTCCCGCATAAAACCATTCATGATACCATACGATTGATAGTCTACGGTATAGATATTTTACCTGAAATAACAAACAATAAATAGTGATAAGATTAATTGTACCGCGTTTTACGTTTTTATGTTATATGTTTTATTCACACATAGTTATCTTAACAAAACTTTAATTTTTTAAATTCGACCTAGAGATTTTCTCTTTCTCTTTCTCTCTCTTTTTTTTTTGCAAAACAGACACGTGATAATGGCAGATTGAAAAACATTTTTAATGTATAAATCAACTTCTATTATTAACACTTTCACGACTGTTTTGCGTGAGAATTTCTGTCAGCATGTTTCACTCAGACAGTACCGAGCTATGAAAAGCATTTTTTAATAAAATAAATAAATAATTAATAAAATAAAAAAAAGAATAAAAACTGTTAAAATTATCATTATATAAATCTTATAATAATGTATGTAATAATCATACATTTTTATTATTGATAAATATTTTAGTATAATGCACTGTCGCTGGTTTCATGCGGCCTTTAATCACTTTTTTTTACTTTGTCCTTTGGCCTTTTTATTTACTTTATTTGATCTTTAGAAAGTTGCTGAAAATGTTGTTATTATATAAAAAATATGATCGTGACAAATAGGCGAGATAAGATACAAATAAACAAATATAAACATAAGATAACTAAATTAGATATTAACATATTGAAACTGGCCATGGGAACAAAATCACGCACACGTGATACTGGCCGTGAAAGTGTTAAGTAAATGATTTCTTTTGAATAAACATTGGTTGTTTATGCAATGTGAGTGCGTGTGTGTGTGTGCGTGTGTGCACGCGTATGTATTTGTGCATCTTATATGCATACTTTATAATGTACAAAACTCGGACTAACACCGATAACATTTAGAAATTGAAAGGTGAAAAAATATAAGCACTTTTGAAACGGCAATCTATTTTCAGAAATATCATCACATAGCGACACATGGCTACACCAGAAACATCTTTGATTGACATTTTTGCTTCACGAGAGAAAAACTTTACTGATATGTAGGTATCAGTAGATACCTATGTAGATTTCCAAGTATTATACAAACTAAAGTGACACATAGTAAAGTCAGCAATTTTAAATTTGTTATTAGATACACTGATTTTTCGGATTCGAGAACACATATTATGCAGTTGACCAGGAGATCAAAGTTGCTTATAAAGTTAAACTTATAGCCATTTTTCGTGCAACTTTAGCTGTCTGAAACGTGAAATGCGTTTTCAAATATGGACTGCCCCTTTATAAGTGCTTGGTTACCCTCTATCAATCTGAAAAATGTTGTTGTCTTGTTTAAACATCTTGTGTATCGCCGATTGATGTATCGAAGTCTATACGAAGGGGAGATTGTGCAAAATTACAAGATTGGTGACTCGTGACGTCTACAATCATGATAAGTTGCTCTATTATATATACATAAATGCATCATGCGACAGACGGCCAAAGTACATTCGCAAGATATTAGCACTTACTGAAGGCGTATTATACTAAATTATAAGATATAGTTGATTGTTAGGCGAACATGAAACGCAAAAAACAGCCTTGCGTGCAAGCACATTTAATGACTGTGATCAATTCCTTTTAGTGAAGTAGAAGATGGCATAAATGCTTGCATAAAAAGAAAAAAATACAATTCAAATGTTCTGTAAAATGCGGTGTTGTGTTTGCAAATATTTGAAATATTTTGAAACATGAGAAGGAAAAGACTCTTTGATTAGAAATCAAGAGTGTTAAAATTTAAAAAATGATAAAATAGTACAAATGTTAAAAAGTAAATAATTAAATTTTTCTTAAGTGCACACGCAATTTCTAGTACAACTCCCTTCCTTTTTAACATTTACCCAGTTTCCTTTCTCAATTGATTTCTTATAATAAAACTGCAAATAAGCAGACACATTTTCTATTTTGTTGGGACTGTTTTATGATTATCCGATTTCCTTTTCTTAGACTTCTATGGCAATAATGCCTAGGCGTCTGCTTAACTTGAGTCGTTTAACTCTGCAGTCTCTATAGCATTTTTTATGTTATACTAATTGTAAGAGTACAGTTTCTCTCGTGGCTCTTCTTCTCTCTTTTCTTTATATTATACAACAGTGACTTTCATATGTCAATGACCATTTTTAAGCGATTTTGATATGAAACCATTTACAAAACTTTTTAAATTTAAAGTAAATTTTACTACATAAGAAAGATAATTGAAATAATAAGTGTAAAAGGAAATTTTTATTAGCGGAAAAGAAAATCTTCCGTGAGATCAACAACATTATGCAACTAACAGAAATATTAATGCCATATTTTTCCTTTTGTTTTTTCCGAGACAGTCATCGTTTTATGTTACATATCCTTTATTTAAACGTTTAGTAGCGAATAATAATAAAATAAAATATTTGTACACTTCTAAATGATTTTGTTTCGTTTAGCTTTGTATTTTTCTGCGAATAATTGAAGCACTGATCAATGTGTTTTACTCGCGATCTAATATGCTGTCAGATCCATACGCTGTCATTGCATGTCTTGTCATTTTTTGTTATTAAATGACATTCGAAATGTAGACATGTATTCATTATGCGATTGCATAAGATTAGCATGAAACATTCAATTATATTTGACATGGAAATTGTAACTTTAAATTTTAGTACATTATAAAGACAAACAGTACGTGCAACGATTTAGATATTGATAAAAAACGCATCTGAACATTTTTAAATTGATTGAAGTTGATATTAATGCAATTACTATTTAAATGTATCTGAAAAATATCAACTGTATCAGCTAAAATTACGTAAAAATGTATAAAAATGTATAAAAATGTCAATATATCTTATGTTAATATGCCTAAACGTTAATTTAATATGTGACATTATTCATCTATCAAAAATTTGTGATCGTTTCAAATATATTGCTTTTTGTCGAAAAGGTCTTGGTCAATCATTCTAAATTCATAAATTCTAAAAATATTGTACAATATGTAAATATATAACATACATAAATGCAAATGAATGAATACGAATGTATTATTTATAATTATTATTTATAATTATTCACAATTATTTATAATTATTTAAAAATTGAAATTAAATGATAATTTTTGCACATTGACATATGGAATTTTGTTATATATATTTGTAAGTAAAATTCTTTATATATAAAAACACAGTATAAAGTTTTGGTTCTTGTTATACAATAATGTAATAGTTTCTTTAAAAACAGAATTTATGAAATAATATTATTAACATGTATTATATAAAAAATATTGAAAAATATAATTACTGTTTAGATCGCTAAAAAACTATATACTATATTATATAAAAACTTTTCTCCGTCTTGGTTTTGGTTGTTATAAACTATCGCTAATGAAATCTACACATTATGTACATTTATCAACAGAATAATTGATTAATCAATTATTCTGTTGATAATTGATTAATCAATTATTCTGTTGATAAATCAATATATTATAACTCTAAATAGGATAAATTAATAGAAAAAAGAAGCATTTATATAGAACTAAAAACTTTCTGAATTTCCATGTACAAAATAACGAGCAGGACAAATTAACGACAGATTAATGGACAACATTTGCAAGTCATGTTTTGCGCAATTTATCGTGATTTATCGTGATTTTTGTTGAATTTATTTGTTTCTATTAAATTTATTTGCTTTTTTTACACATGCATACACACACACATATATCTACATAAATTGTGTTTAATGTGTTTTTTGCAAAAATACTTTTTTTTACAAAGTTACAAATGATAAATGATACTGTAAACTTTATGCCAGTTTATCAGAGTTTATCACAACGTATAAATCTTCACATCGCAGCATATAATTCACGATATACTTATCGTATTATTTTCATTGTTTAATACAAAAAAACGCTTATCATATTGCGTGTGCTGTTGTTCATTTCGCTTTCGATGTTCAATATTTCATCATATGTGTATAGTGCTTATACGCATATATAATAAATTTATTTAATATGTAATTTAAAGATTATATTACAATTATACCAATTAATATTAATAATTAGTAATTAATGAACTCATTATGTAAATTTGCGAATATTAAGCAAATATTATTGTGATTATTTTGGATATTATCTTCGAGATCCAAGTTACGAATAATATTTGAGCGCATTTCTGATATAATATGAAATAGATAATAACCGAGTATCGCTAATGAAATCTACACATTATGTCCAACAAAATTTGTAGCAACAAAATTTGTAAAGAGTATATCGATAAAAAGTGTTTGAATGTAAATTAGATTGTCTACGCGGATAAAATATCTCATGTGACATCATTGCATCTCGCGGAAGATGCATTGTTCCATTTGAGAAGCATCTTAGATATTTTTGGTGTTTTAGTTTTTTAGTTTTTTTATTTCGAATAACAATAATAGTAATAGCAACATTATCGATTGAAAACTAAAACAAAAGATTATAAAGAAAACAAGAAAAAAAATCTATAATAAAATCAAATTGACGCATACAACAGCAACAATAATATTACTACAAAGTCTAAAAATCGATAGACAAATATTATGAAAGTCCATATTATGGACATATATTATAATATGTGTCAAACGTGTATATATATATATCACATCTATTACAGAACTTTATATTCAATTTTAGTTCGAAATTAATTATGTAAGAATATGCGAAGTGAAAATAACTGTATAAAATTAATTCATTAAATCTGATTGCTTCTAAACAGAATAACAAATAACATAGGCACAATAAATTTTTAGTAAATGCAGAATACACAATAGAAGACCAGTGATTCAAAAGCAAAAAAAAAAAAGGCAACGGATGTTAGCATGACAAGAATGACTTGTAATATTAGACTGTAAATGAAAAAACGGCACAAAAAATAATAAAGCGATACGAGAATTATTGGATGATAAATACTCGAATAATACTTATTAGACGAACTTTATTAGAAACAAGTTTTATATATAGAATTAATATAACATTCAAGATTAAAATAAAGTTTGTATACGGAGCCAATAACGGAGTCACGTAACATAAATATGAAGTTAAACCAAATTTGGATAATTTAAAATGGATGCATCCTGTCCAGAAGCACGTTAAGGAAATTGGGCATTATCATAATTGTGTAAAATTTAAGATTGGGCAGAATCGAGTGTTAACAAGCACTAATAGCAATGTTTTCACATACGTTTAGGAAACGCATGTGAAACACACATGTGTTACCTGGGTTAATTGTAATAAATAAATAATTGTTGTCATATCCGAGACTATCTAAGAATTGATCGAAACCGATCAATATTACTTAAGAGCTTTAAGTTAATTGCTACACGTAGATTGCAATGGTTATAGCTCGCAATGTGCAACATTAATGAGACAGAGAGAATGCGTCGTTACTTTGGCCTTGTTTTTTAAAAATAAAATTTTACTCAATTTACTTCTTCATTTATTTTCAACAGTGATAAAACTAGTAAAACTGGTAGAACCGGTTAATGATTTAATTCTTCTAATTACATCGATTATATTACATATCGAGACAAATAATTTTTTAATATTTGAAAGAATTTTATTTAACAGTTTTCCTCATTATTTCAATTAATTACTATTGTTACAATTGTTATAAAATATTAAATGCAAAAATTTAATTTATATCTTATTTTTAAATCTCTAAATTTGATTTATTATAATGGATGCAATAAGTCATATATGTAAATGCTATTAACGCAGATTATCAAATTACCTTGAGCACATTAGACAAATAGATAAAATACTTTGAATGCTTACTTACTTCGTTGTTGCGCATATAAGCAATAAAATAAATATGCAACAAATTATTGAAGTTCTACAAAAATTCTGTATAAACACATGTAACAACGTTAAAAAGTCACGTCACACTAGCATAACAATTAGCAAACTGTGATTAAAATTTTTGTTAAATTATATTTTTATTAATTTATGGAAAATAATATATACAATACTTATAAAAAAGTATGAATAAGTTTAAATATTAACGGTAAAAATTAATGTTATTTATAAATTTTATATTATTTATTACATATTTCATGTTTGTATATATTATACATAATAATATGTATGTATATGTCATTACTGTGTAGTTCTTGCACTTATTTTCGAGTATCTTGGCATCTTGAAATTTTGATACTTGCTTACATTTTGATTTAAATTTGAAGTAGATCAAATAATCAAAACAATCGTTTTTACGTTTGCACATAAAAAAAACAAGCAATAAACATTTTAACTTTTTATGCTTTATGATGCACAATATTATCATTTTATATACATTTTTCATATCATTTTTTATATCGTAGCATATATGACCTCATTTCAAATGTATATCATTCGCAGAAACAATCGCAAAAAATATTATACATCATTACATTTGCAACCAATCGTTATATGCTTATTTATCAATTTTAATAATACCCGAGAAAAAATGGTATAATTGGTCAGATATAAATATATATAATTAGTTATGAAAAGATTTAATAACATATGTAATTTATATGAACATATAAAATATTACATGTTATCAGATCTTTTCATAACTAATTATATATATTTACATTTAACTATATTTACCATTTTTTCTCGGGTACTTTGTATTTTTCTCTTTCTTTGCTCAAGGATTGAATCATAAATAGAAGTATGTAAAAAGTAAGT